TGATAAACAACAGGAATCCGTTTCTTCCAGTTCTGGAGGCAAGAAGTCTGAGACCAGGGTGCTGGCGTGCTGGGGTTCCGGAGAGAGCCCCTCGAGGGTGGCCGAGTGCCGACGTCTTTTTATAACCTCACACAGCCCAAAGAGGGTGGCCTGACTTTCTGGCCTCTTCTTACAAGGGCACTAACCCCATTCCTGAGGGCTCCCACTCAGGTCCTAATCACCTCCCAAAGGCCCCACCTCCAAATACTGTCACTTTGGTCCTGATTTTTTCCTTGCTCTTTCCCCCATGTTTACCTCTCTGACCCTCGCACCTCTCTGATGGTGGTCAGTCCAAACTCTGATTCCTGAAAAGTCCTCTGGTTCCTGAGGAAGAACCTGCTCCCACTGGCCTCCTATCTCCTGGTGGGTAGCAAACTGCCCAAATGTGTCTGGTGCTTCCCATCTCAAGCCGTCAGTCCGCTGCTGGCCTCTGGGCACAGCCAGCAGTCTCAGCTCCACCAAGTGTGGCAAGAAGAACAGAGTTCCTCCCTGTGTCCTCCGGGGAGCCCCAGGCCTCTCACAGGAGGGAGGGACCAATGGCTTCTTCAAAACCACATCCTGCCCTGGAAGGTGTGGCTCAGTGGATTGAGTTCCTGTCTGTGAACCAAAAGGTCACTGGTTTGATACCCAGTCAGGGCACACGCCTGGGTTACGGGCCAGGTCCCCAGCTGGGTGCGTGAGAAAAGAGACGACAGATCAATGTTTCTCTCGCCCAGATTGTTTCTCTCCCTGTCTTTCTCCTTCCCTTCCCTTCTCTCTAAAAATAAAAATAAAAAACCTTTAAAAAGAGACCAAATGAACTATATTCCTCAGAAAAATAGAGATATGCACCCTGTTTCTGGGGGCTATTCTCCACTGCCTATCATTTTTGCTGGGGTGTCCAAAGCCACTGGAATAGTAATCAGCCTTCCTTTTCCACCCTGGGTGCTGACTCTCCCAAGGAGCCCCTCCCCACGGCAATAGGTGGGCCCGCGACACACAGTCTGCCAGGGGGCCCGGAGAGGTGACTGTCTGCAGGGGATGCTGCCAAGGCCTCCCTCCCTCCACCAGCCCCCGAGCAGGCCTGCCTCCCGACCGCATTCCCGGACAAAAGAAACCAACTACACGACCTCGGGGGGGGGGGGGGCAGGACGGAGAGGGGGGCACACTCACATCTCAGCCCAGACCTGAGCGGGAGAGCCAGACAAGGAGGCATGTTTCTAGGCTGCCCCAGGCGGGGATTGCGACGTGCTCACAAAACAGATGTTAAGAAAGCCTAACAGAGCATCCGTTACTGCTGGGGCCTTCAGAGAGGCCAAGCGCCATTGCCATGGAGACGACCAGCCTGGCTGCAGAGCCCCAGCCTGTCCCTGGCTTTCCCGCACGTCCAGCACGGCAGCCTGGTGGTTTTTATCATTTCCCCGCGTTGGTGTCTATTCTTTCCTATCTTATGCATTAAAAATACATTCCACATCAAATCTCATTTATTAGGCTTTACTGTGCTCATCTCTTTGAGGCTATTTTCCTCTCAGTTGACTTAATAATACCCATGTGTTTTACGATTTATTCTTTTACCCCTCTTGTTTTCTTTTTCAGGTTGCACAGATCCAACTGGCCAGGCTGTGTAGCTCTCACCCTGGCCATCCCCCCTTCACCTCCTAACACACACACATACACACGCACACTCCCCTTGACCCTCACTTACACCCCCACCTCCGCACATGTACCCCAAGTCCCGCCACACACACTTTTCCCTCACATACATCCCTGGCTCCACCTTCCAGAGCTCCACGCAGATCCCCACTCACACTAAACACCCACTTCTCCCGAGTTCCTGCCCACCTTGCCCTCCCCATCTCCACGTACCCCCACCTCCTCTCCACGCCTGTGCATCTTCTCACTACTCCACTCCATACACGTAGAAATGCCTCTCCCTCTCTCTCTCTCTCTCTCTCACACACACACACACACACACACACACACACACACACACGATTACCCCATAAACACACCCACACTTTCCTGCACAAGACCTCCGAGCACATTCAATGCCTTACACCTCAGCTGAGTGTTCACTACTGAATAGCCCTGAGTTCCCCATCCGGGAGCAGTTCCCTCAGTGGACAGACCCTGTGGGGCCCCCGTGGGTCAGGGAGTGGGTTCTACCCTGAGGGTTGGGGGCGGATGCCAGGTCCTGCGTGTCCCCCACTGAGGAAGGGACACAGGCACGGAGCAGCCCGAGGCCCCCCCTTTTCATGCCCTGCACCCCCCTCCTCTCCAGGGACACCCCGGGGATGAGGGGCTGGCAGCATCACGAATAAAGGACTGGAAAGCGACTCTTCCCTCCCTTTCTTTTCTTGGCTGTTCCAAAAATACAAGCGACGCCCTCTCCTGCGTTTCCTGCAGGAAGCTCCCTGCCTGTGCACGTCCATTGTCTGCGTGGAGGCAGCTCCCCCTGGACTTGGCAGAGGAGCCTTCTTTGCAGGTTACACCTCGTCCTCCCAGACACTGGTTTCCAAAGGCTCTTCTCCCGTCTCCTGGGAGAGCTGGTCTCGTGTCGGCCTGTTTCCCGTGCACCGAAACCACTCCGAGCCTTCCAGACGTGGTGTTAGAGGCTTTGGCTGGGCAGCTCCCCTTTTCTCTAAAGACGCCAGCAGGACACATTTCTGGACCCCACTGACATTTGGAAAATCTAAACATTCATAAATGTCTGCGTGGCCTTTTTAAAATCGGCAATTAGCTGTGAAAGGTCTCCATGATTCCCACACTGTTCAGCCCCTCTTTAATTTGTTTTCCTAAAACACATAGTTACTCTTCATTTCCCATGTCCATTTCTGGAGCATGTCTGCTCCGAGGGGAAGAAATCCTCAATCAATACATGATGGTAGTCTAGGGGTCATTCCTTATGAATAACAGATTTCAAAAACCACAACAAGGGCAGCACAGGGAAGTGCGCTGAACCGCTGACGTGGGCCAGGCACTTGACCTAAACTATTTTGTTTTGACTCCCTGCCCAGAGCGCCCTGAACGAGAGGGGATTATTGTTCCCACTTCACAGTGAGGAAACTGAGGTTCGGAAAGGAGAAGTAGTGGCTTGCCTAAGGAGACTTTGGGCAAAGAAATGGTCTGAGCTGGGAACTGAATGAAGTCCATGTTCTTACCCAGTCATACAACCTGAGGCTCGTCCAACCTGAGGATCTGGGAATAGAGAAGTCTGAGCTTTCACAGAGAGGAACCCCACGGACTCGCCTGTGACGACACAGCAGGGCTCCTCCTCATCTGCAACTCTAGCTTTCCCAGCACGACACGGGTTGTCCCTACCACCGCCAGTGACAAGAACTGCCACTTAAATGGTTGTTGCACGTGCCAGCCACTGGGCTACATTCTGAGCGTGCATCCTCTCAGCCCTCACAGCCTTACAGCAGGGGCCCATCTCATATGGGAAGAAACCTTGACTCAGAGCTGCAAAAAAGAACTGAAGGCCCTGGTGTTGGGGAACCTCCATGTCCAGATTCAGACCCGGACCACCTGACTCCAGAAGACCTTTCAGATTCAGGACACCCTCAGAGGGGGTGCTTTTAATGAAATGCGTCTGTTCTTGGTGACCTTGCACACTTCGAAACTCAAGTTTTCAGAGAAATATGACTGAAGTAGGAGTCACATTTCAAATTTTCCACCGAGGTGAGACTGCGTGAACATCTTTGTGCGTATTAGCAGGGTACACACCCATGTGGCCCTGGCACCCAGCTGGTGCACAGCCCCAGCTAGACCCACGGACAGGGCTCCTGGGCCACAGTCCTCCCCACCCCATCCGCTGGCACCAGGAGGATGTCCTGAAGGTCGCGCAACCCTGAGCACTTCCAGCTGCTGCTCCGAGCCCAGCCAAAGTGAGACTGTAGTGTCCTGTTATTGCGAATAGAATTTTCATAAACAAAACGAGCAACACCATGACCAAACTGTTCCCTTTCCCAGCTAGTTCACCTCCCTACAGGCCTGAGAGGCAAGCCATGGCCCCCCGCAAAGTCCCCTTGGGTTTCTCTCTCAGTGGAGTTTGGCTCAGAGCACGGAGGTCAAGGCAGGAATGGCAGAGCGGGAGGATCTCGGCGGACTGAACCCAGCTGTGGAGCCGTCCCTAACAAGGAGCAGAGCGAGGGCTTTCAAAGCCCCCCTCACCCCCACCTCTAACCACCCTCTGTGGTGGCCGCTCCATGTGGAGCATATGCCATTGGGATGGGGCCCAGGCTGTGGGGAGCCGACTCATCAGGCTAAGCAGGCCACCATGTGTGGCACCTGGCAGGATGCCCTCCCCTTGGCCTGGCCAAAGCGCCCCAGGCTCCCTGCTGGTTTCATTTCCCTGACCTTCATGCTGGCGGAGAGAGGCAGGGGCCTCAGGTCTGGGAAGACAGCAGTGCAGTGGGCCAGACCACCCCCTCTGAGAGCGCGGCCGGCAGTTCCCGACTGTCCTTCGGAGCCGTCCTCACCTGATCCTGTGTAGACCAAGGGAAAGAAAGGGCACGGCCGGGCCCCCAGGCTCAGGTCTGTCTCCTCCCCTGCCTGCGTGAAGCTGCATGCAGCCCTTCCGCAGCCCGGAAGGATGCCAGGCCACGGTGCACGTGAGAAATGACTACTTACGGGTGGCCTACAGAGAGGTGGGGGGCAGGTTCCCACGACCGGAACCCAGCTGACAATGCGTCCTGGTTCCCACTCCGTCTGTTTCCAGTCCTGCCACTGATCTGTCTCCACGGTAGGTCTTGCGACCCGTAAAGGAATCCCTTCTATCACTCTAAGTGCTTCATCTCTTGAGCCTGATCTGTACATAAGACTTTTAAAAAAGCAGTCTGGTACTGACACACACAGGAATCAATTATTCTCTCAGCACACCCCCAGGTGGCTCATTTATCCTTAGACATCCTCGACCCCAAGACAGTGGCCTACGGAAGAGCATTTCTGGACCAGTCCTGCAGGGTCTGGAGGCCACTTACCGACGCTGGCCACGGTGTACCGGTAGGGCTTTGACAGGAAGTGTGGGAGGGTGAGGACGAAGGCGCCCGAAGCCAGCAGGAGACCCCCGATGCCAATCAGCCGCGGACGGTGCACCCGGCTGCCGAAGTAGCTGACGAAGATGATGAGGATGGCGTTGCTGGTCTTCGGAGAGAGCAGAGGGGCCGAGTGAGACCAGAGACTCCTGGAGACGGCATGTGCTCCCTCACTGAACTCCCTAAAAACGTGGGCTTGGTAGTCAGAATAACCACCAAACAACACACGCGATCTCTTTTTACCACACAAAAATGCTCATTTTACAGACGGCAGAATTGGGGCTCCGGGTGTTAAGTAACTCGTCCAGATCCTAAGGTTAGGTGGTGGCTTGAACAGACACTAAGTTTCAACTAAGCTGGTCTACGGCCTCCTGGAGGAGTGGGTGTTTGTCCCGGCAGCTCTGCTACTAACACACCCCTGCCCCCACCGGGCCTGCTTGCATGTCCATCAATGAGGGACGAGGACTAACACACCCTTAAGTCCCTTCCCAGTTGGACACACCACAAACTCCATGTTCCTGGTGCTGCTTGGAAGGTGTGTTCTCCGGGCCCCACCCAGAGCCAGGGAAGGGAACCGAAGGCCCACCTTGGGGAGCAGGGTCAAAAAGTGGTGAAAGGGGTGCTGGCAGATCTTCTGAGTGCAACTGCGTCCTAAGACATGACCTTCTGCCCCAGGACACATGTTCACCTGGATTCCAGGGTCCCTGGGTGTCAGCACCCACATAGCCACTGCCCTGTCTGCACCACAGTCTCCTCCGGCTGCAAAAGCAGGGCCCCTGTCTCAGGAAATAGGGGCCGTGGCTCTTGCCAAGATCACCAACACCCCCCTCATTGCTAAATTCGCTGGTCAGTTCTCAGTTCTCCTTACTCGATCTCTCAGTCCCACTCGATTCAGTTGGCTGTTTCTTTATTCCCGCAACCCTTCCTTCACTGGCTTTCCACGACACCACCTCCTCCCGGTTTCCTTTCCCTGGTGCTCCTTCTCAGCCTCTTCGGCTGAGTCCTCCTCACCACCCCGAGCTTGCCCCTCGCCGAGCTCTGACCCTGTGCCTCTGCTCCCATCTTGGTGAGCTCGTCCATCCCGAGGCTTTACTCGTTCTGCATGTGCTTCTAATTCACACCCCAAATCTCACCCTTTATCTTTGCCCGGAAACCTGGTTCCCACTCCCCAGACCTCCTCCCTTAGTGAATGGCAGCTCCATTCTCAAGCAGAACATCTGAGCATCATCCTTGCCTGCCCTTTCACACCCACATCCAACCATCAGTAAATCCCACCCACTAGACCTTCAACAGCCACTCAGAAGCCAACCACTTCTCCCGCACCTCCCCATCGCTACCACCTGGGAACCATCATATCCTGTCCGAATTACTGCAGTTGCCTCCTCACTGGCCTCCCTGCCTCTCTTCTTGCCTCGCTGCAGTCTATTCTCCACCCAGCAGCAGAGAGGTGCTGCTGCAGAGTCAGACCAGCTCCCTCTGCTCTAACCTGCAAGAGTGAAAGGCAAAGTCTGTCCCAGAGCTTGCAGAGCCCGGCCCTCTTCCCTGCTCTCACTCTCCTCTGAGCTCCTGTCTCTCCCCCTCCTCTTCCCTCCACTCTGGCCGCCCTGACTCCAGCTGTTCTTTGAACATGACCCAGCCATGCCTTCCCTGGGCCTGTGTACATGGCTGCTCCCTTCTCATCTCACCTGCTTTAGGTCTCTGCTCAGGTAGAACCTTTTGAAAAGAAGGGTGTGGGTGAAATGGGTGGAGGGAGTCAAAAGATACAAACTTCCAGGTGTAATACAAGAAGTCCTGGTGATGATAACTAATAACACTGTACTGAATATTTGCAAGTTCCTAAGATCTTAAAAGTTCTCATCATGAAAAGAAAACCTATAACTATGTGAGTGCTAGATGCTAACCAGATGTATTGAAGCAATCATTTTGCAAGGTATCCAAATACAGAATCATTACGTTGTACACCTGAAACTAATATAATGTTAAATGTCAAGTATATTTCAATAAAAAGGAGTGGCTGAAATATAACTTATATTTATAAGAATTAACAATAATAATTAATTGTTATAATACATTAATTAAGAGAAGCCACTTCTTCACAAGGCAAGACGCCCAGTGTCTCCTCCTGTCAGCCAAGCTCCTCCTCCTGCCACTCACCTTGCACACCCAGTCCTCGTCTCCCCTGTGCCCCTCCCTGCCGGCCCCCACTTGGCCCCGCTGGAGGCTGGTCCTGCATTCCAGGTGCCCAGGCGGCCTCACCTTCCCCACCACTGGGCCTGGATCTCATCCCACACCCCTCAGGCTTCTGACAGGTGTGGTCTGTAATGTCTTCAGTCTGTACTCAGGCAGCTGCCAAATCCTGCCTTTTCTTCTTTTGGGGTATTGCTGGGGCCCTCTTCTCCTCTAGCCTCTCAGGCCTGGCCTAGTGGCGCAGCCTCCCGGTCAGCCAACTTCTGCAGGCACCGTCCTTCACCACTAGCATCTCCCAGTGTCTTCTTCTAGAGGGTCCATCTTCATGAGACTGTGCTTTCTGCACCCCCACTCTGCTCAAGAAGCCATGGCAGCTACTGCCTACCATAGAAGCTGGGAGCCTGGAGCCGGGCTATGAGGTCCGCCCTGATTTAGCTGCCCTCCCTTCTTCTGGCAAGACTCCTACTTTACTACTTGGTCCATTTCTAAATGCCCGGGGCAGGACTGACAGGAAAACAGAAAGCTCTATGGCTAAATTCCTGCCTCACCTTCTCTACACGCCCCCATAACAGACACACACGAATGCACACACACACACATAGATACACATAGTCATACACAAATACTCAGACACACACAGATGCACATAAGACATATACACACACAGATACACAAATACACACACAGTCACACACAGATACTCAGACACGCAGACAGGCACAGACACAGGACTGTGGTCCGAAGAATGAACTTTCTCGTGGTATTTGTCTCAAAACACACCCACAGGCATAGTTTAACACCAGACTGTGGAAAAGCTAATCTGAGTTTGGGAAAGAGAAGAAGTAATGGGTGAATTATTTTCAGCTTTTATTCAACCACAGCCTGAGGAAGTATTCTGTTCCTTATTTGTCTAATCGACTTCCTGCTGTAGACTCTGCCACATGTCCCAGCTGGCTGTTCCCTGCCTCCCAGAAAATCCAGTTGTTCCTGGGCCACGTTTTTGTTCCAGGCCTAGAAAAATATAAATTAAAATTGAAGCACAGAAGCTCATCGATTCGTCTGTGACCTCAGTGACACTGCAGCTCTGACGCTGACAGGAAGTGCCCGGGCCACTGTGTTGAGAAGGATTCGGAGTTTTGGGCTCGGCAGGAAAAAGCTGTGGTGGGTTAGGGTGCCTTCCAGGGTCATGGATAGGACTGCGGTGACACGGATGTCGGAGATGTGTTTTCCCTGTGTCCTTCACGGTGAGGACAGCATGTACTAGGGGCATTACCACCGTCACGGGCCAACACTCAGAATTCTGTGTCGGGGTGCCAGGCCCATTGGGTAGGACAGCACAACCTACACGGAGGGGCAGACCCGGTCACCGGGCCCCGGAGCTTTGGACACACACCCTGAGAGACACACGTGTGCTGACACACACACACACAGAGCAGGGTGAAGGCATACACGTGGGCCTGGGGATTCAGAGGAGAGGCCTGAGGCCCATTAGGCCAGCAGGATGGGCCACAGGGCTGTGTGTGCACAGGTGCGTGTATGTCACAGGAGTGGAGGAGCAGCCCACGGTGGGCAGTGCGTGCAGAGAAGGGTGTCAGTAGGGATTCCAGCAGTGCGTTTGGAAGACGAGGTCTGCGGGCCCCGGTTGGGAGTGGTGGTAGGAGAGGCAGGTTAGGGGTCCAGAGGGGGCCTCGGCATGTAGCCGCCAGACCGTCTGTGCTCAGATCCTGGCTGTGCTGGGCACACACATGTGGCCGACCTGGGAGGGACACTTGGGCTTTCTGAGGCACGCTTCCTCCTCTGGAAAACGTGACTGTGAAGAAACCCCTCCTCCTGGGACTGCAGGGGATCCCAAGGGGTGAAGGGCAAAGGAGCCACACCAGCTGGGAGCAGGAGGGGGATGGGGACACTGGAAGGCGGTGGTTGGAGGGGGTGTGAGGAGACGACCCACCTTCTTTATAGCTCCGTATTAGAAGCTAAATTGGGAGAGCCCCAGTCTCTGAATTACTACATCTAAATTACTACCTGAATTCACTAAGTCAAGAGAAGATCTAACTATGTTCCAAAGAAACAACTAGGCTTCTGGGGTGGGTGGGCTGCTGCCTCCACCCCAGAACAATGGTCCTCGTGAGGAGAAGCTGGGCCTGGGAGCTCTGTCTCCTTACCTGGAACACCAGTGTTGCTGCCATGGTGCGGGGTTGGGGGGGGGCGGTTTAAGGGGGGCTCTGCTGCCTCCCATGCTGCTTTCTCACCGGCTTCCAGTGACTCCTAGAGACCTTGTCTTCTGACCTCCCACCCCCAACCTCTCCAACCCACCCTATCTTCTCTAACTTCAATGTGCAATCATTGAAGGACAGTGTGAAATCCACATTGCTGGGAGGTCAGAGAGATCTGACCTTCCTGGGGGTCAAGGCCATTGAGCAGCTCTGGCTCCTGCGATGCTCATAAGACAGGAGCTGCTGGGCTTGGTGCTGCCTCCCCGGCTGCATGTCTGGACTCATTTCCTACCAGACTGGGGATGGGCAGAGGTCACATGCACTTGTGGGTGGTCACACAACTCAATTAGGAGCCCAGAGTTTGGAGGCAACAGCCCTGCGCCTGGCGCAGCCCCAGTGCCTTTGTGTGCCAGGTGAGAGGAACAAGCAGGGTGCTTGCCACAGGGCTGTGGCCAGGAGGCCCAGGTCAGGGATGGGGAGGCCCTTACCTCCACCCAGAACAGTGGATCTTGTGGAAAGGAAAGAGAGCAGCTGGGCCTGGGAACCCCATCTCCTTACATGGAGCCACCAGAGGCTCTCAGCCCAGTGCCCGGTGCCAGAAAGCCTCAGGAAATGCAGCTTCTTTCACCGTGCCCATCGCATCTGGCTGTCCTTTCTCCACGTGTCTATCCCGGATCCCCACTTCTCTGTTCTTCCTGGACACCCCACTCTGAACTGGGGTGCACGAGCAGGGTCAGATGGACTGGAACATCCTGCTTACCTCATTCAAGCTGGAAATGAGACCCGAGGAAGAACTGGAGAGGCCAAAGCGCTTCTCGATGGTGGTGAGGCTGCTCTTGAAGTAGGCACTGTACAGGAGCTGGCACAGCTGCAGGAGCCCATGGCAGAGCACGAACACCTGGGGGAGACACCTGGACAGTGAGCCCTGGCTGGCCACCTGGGCCTTCCAGTCTGTGTTCTCATCTGTTGCTTGGAATGCTGATTTTATCCGGTGGTTCTGAGGGCGAAATGCCGTTGTGGTTTCACCGGGAGTCACTCAGTGCGTCATCAGCCCTCCATTCCACCATTCCCGTCGTTCTTAACACTCTTGCCATAAATGACCCAGTAAACCACAGGGTTGGAGAAGCACCCCTGGGAAAGGCCTGGCTAATCAGCCACATTCTTGACTGGTTTTCTGCCGACTCCACCATGCCCTGTGGGCTGCTGCTGTGTCCTCCCTCCTGTCCCTGCCACCCCCAGGGCACTAACACGCCCCAGGGCCACATTGTTCCACTCCTGTTGACCTGTTCTCCATTCCCCAGCCTCCAGCAACATCTACCCACCAAGGCCCACCCTTAATACCCAGTGACTCACCAGGATGGGTTCGCAAATCACCTGGTTTTAAGGAATGTCCCCAAGCTTTTTATCACCTCTTATCAGGGATATGTGTGATTGTGCGGGTTCCTGCCCCAGCTGAGTGAAACGGCCTGGGGAAGGCCTTGGCCATGGTCTCTGCATCCTGACCTGCCCCAGATACCCTGCCATGTGGGGTGAGTAAATGTGAATTCTGTGGGTGGTCGGGGCAGAGACACAGCAGGGAGGGAGGAAAGGAGTTTGTGGCGTCTGGAATCAGCTCCTCGCTGAGCTCTGGGCCCACTGGGTTCTCGGCTGTTGGGCTGGGACACAGCAGGTTCAGAGCCAGGAGTTGTACATCCCTGAGCCCCTTGGAAGGTGCCCCTTCTGGAGATTGCGCTTTTCTTTAAAGAAAGGGTGGGGTGTCATTATGTTTCATAGTTTGCCAAAGTTCTTTCCTTAATTGAACGGCTGGCGTCTCAGGAGAGCAACTGGGGCTCCCGCCTTCATTTCTATTTCCTTGCAAAGCTAATCCTGTGCCCTCTGCAGGGGCCCCACGCTGGGCTGTGGGATCAAAGCTGACATTTCCCTCTTCCACCATCTAGGGCAGAGCCTCTGTGAGGCCGGCCTGGGACTCCCAACAGATAGTGATGGGGAGAATGATGGGGTTTGTCCAGGCCTGATTGTTTTCCGTGGCCACTGGGCATCTGAGCATGCTCAAGTCCTGAGTCTCTGGTCCAGGCCAAATCCAATCAGATCTTGGATGTCTTGCCATCCCTTAAAGGGTAATACCCACAAACTCTGTCTGCTGGATGCACCCATGCGAACACTCTCAGACCCCTCAGACTAATCACTTCCCAAATAGGGCTCTTCATCCTTCCTCACAAACCTCTCCTATTCTTTCTTCATTTCCCAACACCTTCACTCAGTCCCCAAACCAGAAACTGGGAATCCTGGATGCCCCTATTCCTCAACCCTTGGCATGTGATTGCTAAGCCCTGTGATTTCTTTCTGGTGTCTTCCAGTCTTGACTTGCCCATGTTATTTCTTGCCTCAGGTCCTCCTCTTCCCGCTGTTTACTACAGTAGCCTCTCACCTGTCTCCTGTCTGCTCTGCCATGTCTTCCACCCCCACCCCAGGCAGAGCTTTCTCAGACACAAACTGTGAGCAGGTGACACATAAATTCACACCTCTCACTGACTCCCACTTCCTACGAAGTAAAAACTAATGCCCTCGGCATCTTATCCAAGACATGACAAGTCCTAGACCTTGCCAGAATCTGGTTCCATACTCTGTTGTGGCTCATTGTATTTCACAAAGATGGCTACACTATTATCCTCTGCCCCACAAACACCCCTTACAATGTGACAATGACATTTATTCATCAAAAGATGGGTTCTCTGTTCCCTCCCCTTCAATATAGCCAGTCTAAGCTGTTTGCTTCTAATGAAGAAAATGAAGCAGACATGATGTTGTGTGACCTCCGAGGCTAAGTCCTGAAAGTCGATAGAAAATCCTCCTGGCTCTTTCTGTCTTGGGACCCTTAGAACACAGACATCCCATTGTAAAGAAGCCCAGTCTCTCCTACTCATGGAGGAGCCCAGGGCTGGTGTTGCAGCTGACAACCACAGCCAGTTTCAGCCTGCAGCCAGTATCATGTTACTGAGCGAGCCCTTGGAGGATTCCAGCCCCAGCCTTCAAAGCCAAATGGAGCAGACGTAAGCTATCCTCACCAAGCCTTGGATAGATAGCAGATTAGTGAGCAAACTAAATGCTATCATTATTTTTTTTAAACTCCTCACCTGAGGATATGTTTATGAATTTTAGAATAAGAAGAAGTGAGAGAGAGAGGAAATAAAAGACATCAATGTGAGAGAGAAACATCGATTTGTTGCATCCTATATGTGCCCTGACTGGGAACTGAACTGCGGCCTCGGTATGTGCCCTGACCAGGAATGAAACCCACAACCTTTTGGTGTATGGAATGATGCTCCGACCAACTGAGTCACCCAGCCAGGGCAATGCTGTCATTGTTTTAAGTTTGGGGTCACTTTGTTACACAGCACTAGATAGCTGCAACACCTGTTGCCACACACCTTGCCCTTCAAACTTCTTCAAGGTCACACTACTCAAGTTCCCCACAGCATGCATTCATTGTCTGTGTATTTGTTCACAATCTACACAGAATCATTTTCCCCTTATTTGTCTGGATAACTCTTCCTTGCCCTTCAGGGGTCCTCTTGCCCAGCATGGGGCTCAGTTATGTGTCTAGTTCAAGGCTGCTTACAAAAATCCAAGCGCCCTGATGCTAACTTCTGCACAGAGGCATCCTGACACATGGCTGGCATTAAGGTAAGCATTCAGCAGAAGAGTGAGGGCTATCATAATAGCCTGGGGGAGACACAGTGAGGGTTGGACCAAAGGCTGGGACAATAGAGATTTGGGGAGGGAGCCCACAGGGGCTCTTGCAGAGGTTAAGTTGACAATACTGCCCCTGATTCAATTTTATTTATTTTTAGACAGAGGGAAGGGAAGGAAAAAGAAATGGAGAGAAACATCAATGTGTGGTTGCTTCTCATGCACCCTCTACTGGGTACTTGCCCACAACTCAGGCATGTGCCTTGACTGGGAATCGAATTGTCAACCCTTTGGTTTGCAGGCGAGCACTCAATCCACTGAGCCACACCAGCCAGTGTCACTGATTCAAGGTGGAAGAAAAGGGCCAGAGTTCCAACCTGAGGGCCAGGAAGGGGGCAGGGCCTGTGAGGAGACAGGGGCCCAGGAAGTGGCAGACACATGGCATGGGAGGATAGTTTTGGAACACCCGAGTTTCTGGGCATGAAGCTCAAGTGAAAAGGCCTGGGAAGGCCTTTCATTTAATTAAATCAGTAATGAATTAACAGGAGTGACTAATCTCTACCAAATTCCCCAGCAGTCTCATGAGAGGAAGGTGAAGACAGTGGAAGGAAAAAAAACTATCTCAGATCTTTTCCTGAAATATATGCCTTTGCTCTTTCCAGTAAACAAAGAAATTCCCCATTTTCTCCCCCCAGTTACTAGGGGGAAGACTCCACCTAAAGTCAGCTGGCACCTTTCCACATCTCACACCCCTTCACAGAACCTGCCTCACTGTCAGCATTAGCTGCTGCAGCCCTGTTAGGTCTGGATGCCTTTTGGGTGCCCTGGCAGAAGTGCTGGCATGTGTCTGGGACCCGTTTCCAGTGTATTCAACAGAATGAGGGGAGTGAGATACATAGCTACAAGGGAGGGTGGGCAGGGAGAAAAATGCCAGGAAAAGAGAAAGAAGTGAATGGATAATTCCCACAGAGCTCTCTGGCCAGGGCCACTCAGGGTCATCAGAGCCATGTGACCCCACCTACTGACTACTGAGCTTGTATGAACAGGACCCTGGGACCATGACCCAGGCTGCTCAAACTTACTGAGTAACTGATCCAGGGATGGCATGAGGGGAAGCAACAAACTCCTGACACAAAGCAGAACCAGAAATCCACACCTGGAGACCATGGGGTCTAAGAGTGTATGGAGATGGAATGGTGGGAGGAGGAAAAGTTTGCTGGTTGGGTGCACCCCACTGTCCACCATCATTTAGACAATATAGTTAGTGTTAAGAGTTTTGATGGTCTGGGTTTTAGAGTCAAACAAACCTACTTGGTGGAAATCCTTACTTTCGACTACATATTTGTCCTCTCAGATGGTGGTCTCCCCAGTAAATGGGGGCTATGATAACACCTGTTCTCACTGCTGTTGTGAGGCCTGCACGAGAGAATGTGTCTAAGGCACCTGGCACCCTTCCTGCCAACATACTGGAAGGATATTCATTAAGTTCTTCCACTGCCTCCTCTTGCCCAAGTGACTAAGCCTCTCTGGGGTTTTCAAGTCTCCTGTGGCACAAGAACTCTAGAACAGAAGTTCCCACAATGTGCACCCAGAACACCGCTTGCTTGAGATTCTCTGAGTTAAACGGATTCCCAGGAGAAAAAAACTTTGGAAAAGTTTGCATATTATCATATTCCCACATGAATAGTTATAATTTATGTTTGCACATTAAAGACTCTGGAGGAAACCTCCAGTAAAGACCTGCTTAAATTTGTTTTATCCAAATTTCTCTATACTTTAACCATGCAACACATACACATTAAAAATATACATATATTTTATGAAAAAAAATATGACTAGTATTCTGCAAAAGATACTTTAGGGAAAGATACCATGTCCCTTTTAGAAAGCAGTTCATGGTAAAATCTGGGTCTTGCGATTTCTTCATGAAAAGAAAGATAATATGTGGGTCATGTTATCTTTTTAAAAATAAGGCACCATCCTTTTCTGTCTCCTCACTCCACTTCTTTTTTGAAAGCACTATTGCTTACTACAATTACATCATCCCCCACTGGGGTGTAGACTCCATGGAGGAAGACAATGTGTGTTGTAGGATGCCACCTCCCCATTGGCTGCCTGGTCTGAAATTGGGGCTCAGCTATTATCAAATGAACAAATGTGTCTTTAAATATGTGAACTGATGAGCTCTTGCTCCAGAATACGCACCCT